ATAAATCAATTAACTAAGATCAAATCATTTGTATTGCAAGGATAATTAGTAAATTTGATTTACTTCTTTTTGAAAATATAAATGAAGAAAACAACCAAAGCTTACTAGTAGCTAAACGATCCACACTCAATCCAACAACTTCTGAAACACAATTATATCCAGCACGTGTCAGTCCATGTAATATAGCTGGAGATAATGGTAAAGAGATAAGTTCACGGAATCCCGGATCAGATAACATTCATGGAAAAAACAACTTTTTTCTAAACAAATAAATTCATTAAAAAAGTACTATCAAATAATACGAATACAATAGAAATGTGTGTAGTAAAATAAAAATATATTCAGTGGTAGGAATATATTACTAAAAAGTACAGTTTGTAAGAAAGAATACATATATGATAGATCTAAATGACACTGAAAAGTAAACTCCATAATTTAGAGCCTTAGGCAAATAATCATAATCATGAGTTCTACATAAATATGATAGATATCTGCTTCTTAGAAGGATGATACACTTTATGATAGAATTCAAAAGTCCATCTGAGGTTTTTGGTGTATCGGAAGACAGTGACGGCTTCATACATAAGTGTTATCGGTTTATCTGAATAGACGTTATTCTGATATTTTCAAAAACACTATTTTAACTAATCACCGAATATAACACATGATTATAATGTTTTGCCCTTGTTAATAATTGTGGTTTGTACAAATTTGTGTAGATTATTGAATTTTATAGTCGACACCACGAACTGACAGCAGTTATACAACCACTGAAAACTGAAAAGCATTGAGCGGCTGTTTCATTCTAACATGGGACTCCTCAGCATTGTTCATTCACGACCTCACCGACAATAGGGCTCAAAATGTTCAGATCTCGCGAAGAGTGCCCAACATTTAGGCCACTGACTGGGCATCCAATGGTTTAAGTTTCTAACTTTAATCAACTCACATTACTGTGTAATCATCATCTTCCACTCCCAGTGGTGAGTAGTTATTTTACACTCTATATGACTGAACTCCATTCACCGTTGAGAAGTCATATACCAAGATGTCCATGGCTTTCTGGTTTTCACTGTTTCTCTAGTTAATACCAATCGATGATGTGAAACATTAGTTCATTTATTTTCTTGATATCTACGTAGCCCCAACTATATCTGCTTATTGACGTAACCATTGCCTATAGAATGTGATATACGAGAACAATTCCCCGAAAAAAAATGGATTAAATTGAAATAAACGTGATATTTATCCATTAATACTTCTGCACAAAAAGAATAATAAATGAAAGTCAAATTATCTTGTAATTTGAACTCTCTTATTGTATGCATCAATGAAATGAATATACATATACATGAATATAAATATAACATTTCTGTAATAACAATTGGTGATATTTCTTGACCAGTGTTTAATCAGAGGTGGTAATCACACCCTAGATATGAAAATACAATGGGAAAAGAGAAAACAATAAATAAATATGATTCTCCCAACAACAATATTAGGATTAACCTAACCATTATATAATCTTACATTAATATATACTTACATAAATACGTAAGTCATGAAACATGTACATACACGTATAGAATTACAGAATTCAATAATATGAATAATTTCACAAGTTGAAATCATGAGTCAATTGAAGCTAGACCACCATGGAAAACCTGGAAGCACTGGACGGCCGTTTCGTCCCAGTATGGAACTCTTCAGCAGTGCGCATCCACGACCCCGCACCTCGCGGGATTCGAACCCAGGACCTACTGGTTTAGCGCGCGAGCACTTAACCATTAGACCACTGATCCGGCATCCAACGGTGTTAACGTCTAACTCAGTGGTCTAATGGTTAAGTGCTCGCGCGCTAAACCAGTAGGTCCTGGGTTCGAATCCCGCGATGCGGGATAGTGGATGAGCACTGCTGAAGAATCTCACAGTAGGACGAACCGGCCGTCCAGCGCTTCCAGGTTTTCCATGGTGGCTTAGCTTCAATTGACTCATGATTTCAACAAGTGAAATTTCTAAAAATCTCCACAAAACCCATTCTGATAATAATATGAATAATTATAATCATAGTAGTAATAATAATTTATGATAATAAATTCATTAAATTGTAAATAATAATTAATAGTTGTTAATATTTATTTTCACAATCTAATTTATTAAACCGATTAACACAAATTAACAAAGAAAACAAAACAATAAGATGGAAAATAATAAAAATTGAATAGTTAAAAGTAGTAACAATGATAAATTCATAATTATTATCTATTACTTAGTTAATTAATTTAGTCCACAGGTTTATATTAACACATTATTCAAAAAATGAAGAATATTTGAACGAACAATTGTTTTTCAATAACTTCATCATCAGGCTTTACAGTTATAAGTCTATCATTATTGTGATATTTTACAAAGGTCAAAAAAAGGCATGTATTTATCAATTTGATAATGTTATATGTTAACACATTATTATGAAATGTTTATTTTCTTTGTTTTAATTGGGTTTTTCTATTTAAATAAAATACACTGGCAAAATAATCAGCCAACATGGTTACATCAGGAAAATTTTTTTTGCAAATTTGATTTGACAGTAGAGTAAGAAATAGACAAAAGTCATTAACATTTAGGTTTAAAACTATTTAATTTTATTGTACATTTTAGACTTTATGAACCTTGTTTTGTTTGCAATTTAAAAACAACACAAAATCTTATTCTATTCTGTGCTTCTTTAAGTTTTAGGTCGTACATTATTTTAAATAATAAGTGATTACTAGTGAATAATTAATGTCTTGTTTTAATTCTTTTAGCTACTGAGATACTTATGGACTTACAGAAGTCACATAACTTGTTGATATCTATTCGATAGTACCAACTAAACGTAATGGAAATATGTTAATATGTAGGCAGATAGCAAAAGGGAACACTGTATTACAATAAACTGCAAACCTGAAACGAAATTATTGGTTTCTAAATGCTAATTCCTTGTTAAAACATTGATACATTAAACATACGGCTACGGAGCGAGATATGCTACGATAGCTGTAACGACAACCACTATACCGTACACAACAACATTTTCCATGTTCTAGCCACTCAAAAAGATAAATAATGTTAAGATTTATTAGAAGAGATTACGGTAGATTAAGATTTACAACCAATTTAATTCAGTTATGTATCAATTCATTAATCTTTGATTACTGAGCATTATTGATGAAATAGTTAACGCTGGACACAAAACTATAGTGAGGTAATCAATACACGGGAAATGCACTGAAAATGAAATAACCAATGACAATTTAAGTACACTAAAATGTTAATGAATAGGGTTTACTCTGAATAATACAACGAAACTTAATGAAAATCACTATATGAAAAACTAAGACTTTATTTTCCATATGATGTATTTAGAAACATAGCATTCACAATACAACAGATGTGTCACTAACAAATAAACAGATCAGATTGACATAGTGAGTAAAAATGGTATGCAACAATACACCAAAGTTCCAGCATTCATGCAAGAGATTTGAAAGTAATGTTTAGTCAACCAGCGCTCACCTCACTGATTTTCTCATTCAAACATTTTTCCCATCACTCGTTCCGAATATATATATTTTCATTTACTTGCTCAAATGAACTGACTGACAGATGTGAGTACTTGAAGTGTTTAATTCTCACAATTGGTCTAATTTCTGTCACAAACTAATTTCAAACTATCTGCTACAACTAAGCACTAAAAATAGCACAAACTCGTACACTTGATGGGGTTTATGTTCGACGATTAGTTAAAACATGGTGCAATCAATGCAAAAATCTAACAATGCCTGTTTAGGATTGGAGAAGATAATTCTGTCATCATAATGAAAAAATGATATTTTTCGACTGAATAAAATCCAATTCATTTACATTCTTAAGTGAAATAAATCTTTTTAACAAGTACTATTCTTGTTAATTTATTTGATTTTACCTCTTCTATATCTCGAACAACATATTCATTCTATTTTTCGTAATAATTTATTGGATCTACTGTATAAAACACGCGTTATAAATGAATGCACAGATTAAGTAGTCTGTAAAAAGCCTATTATCACCAGAAGTGCGTGATTTTCTAGCACACATTGATTTATATATCCTTCGTTTGAAGAAAGAACTGTTGCTCATTTGTAAATTTGGTAACTCATTAAATCAACCTCGTATTTTCACAAAGCATTACAACAGTTATAAAATTCTAAAACTTAAGGATGAACTGTCTACAAAAAATGGTATCAACAAAATGACATATGAACTGTTTAGAATACAATTATATAATTTTGTTTGGATTCTTTCAGTACCTCACTTAATAGTACTGTGCTTGCCACCTTTTTAACATTATCTAGTGGTAACATATATAGTAGGTACATACAGACGTAAACACACACTGAACACATAGAGGAAAACTTATATCTTCCATTTCATCGCCATCACCATATCTTTTATCAACAAACTGAGGATAATTAGGAAAATGAGTGAACTAGAAAATAAGATGTATATTATTCTGATTATTATTACGAATAATAACAATAACTATAGTGTTGTATTAGAAAATATTCAATTATTAAAATTGACAAATAGATAAAGTGAAATCATACCTGCATTTAAGAATATGAAAGACTACAAGAGAAATGATATGATTAACATATTAATTAGTTTTTTTTGAGCGAAAGATAAACACTGATTTTATTTCGTATTTTCAACATAAAGACTGTGCATACACACTGCTAAGAAGAAAACCACTGAAGATAAAATGAATCAGTATTATGTTTCATTTTTGAAAGGAATTAAGTGTAGGTGAGTGCGAGAGAGGACCGATTGCACAAAAATAGAAAATAAAAATAAAAATGGAAATAACATTTCACGAACACTATACTCAGTCTCTAAAATGACGATGATAAAATGAGGATACTAAATACTAAAATAAAAAGAAAAAATCGATAACCAGTCAAACAATTCTCGTCTCTTTGAAATTAAACTAAAACCAAGTCATTGCATGATTCCCTTTGATAATAACTGCGAACAAGTGGTGTCAGTGTAGTTATCCAAAATTTTTTATCCTGCAGACTAGATGCTTTAAACAGAAACTCTCTAGATATTGTTTTTCGAGATTTTCGTAACAACGATGAAGTCCTACTACTAATCAATGATGACGAAGAAAGCCATGTTGTTTCACGAGATGTTCTTGACATAATCTTTTCGTGTGAATGTAATAAATCGGATTGTTTGGTTGAAGTTCTTCCAGATTTTCGTTTTACACTATGTTCATAAGGAGAGAGTTTGAATAAATTTTGATCTGAAAAAAAATATTATATATATACATATATATTGTATAACCATTAAGTTATTATAAACAAAAACTATGAAAAAAACTTAAATGAACACTAAACAGTTATCACGAACTAGATCAAAAGTTTAATTATCAGCTAAACGTATAGATAATAAGTTGCTCTGAAGTAGACCGATAGGTATATTAATTTCCTTTGGGAGAAAACTCTTGAATGTTCAGAAATGTAATAGTAAATAAGCTGGGTTTTTTTACAATCTAACTACTAACCCATATACATGAATATTGAGTGACGCCATCGAAAAAAATTAGCGTGAGTGGAACAACCATCAACGATATCAAGTATGTATCATGGTAAACTACAAACTACGAAAATATGAGGAAAAAAAGTATACGTTATTGGTTTCTAAGATATTTGGTCAGGAAGAAATTAGACGGTTTAACAAATACTGTTTAAATATATATTCATTAGTATTAGCGAACTGTCTAATAAGTACACGAGCTATGTTACTGCGGATTTCGGTGAAACTTAAGTGACAAGAAATTTATGAAATGTTGCGGCTATTCACAAGGATAAAATCATTGAAGTACGAAGCTCCTTTTATTTGGACCAAGCATTTTTGTAAGGGATCTAAAGAGCTCAGAAATGACTTACAGTCAAAACAGCTGTCGACCAACCATGTTGATGAGAATACTGAACATGTACAATCTGTTATTCCTTCTAATAAGCCTGATTATTAACTAACTGACATTGAGAATTTCGTCAGTACACGCGATTCTAATACAACGTGAAAGAATTATGAGATTGAACAGCCTAACTCCTGTGTGTCTTTTAAACAATGGAAACGAAAATGGGACAAATATATTGCCAAAAATATTTTAAAGGGGATAATATTACTATATATCAAGTTTTTTTCAAATAAGGAATTTATGACAATTTTGTGGAATTATCGTACAGAATAGTATACATGTTCAATTCAAAATAACTACAGAAATATTTCAGACGAACTGAACATTTGCAGCCAACATAAAAAAGTTCTTCATTTCCTGAAATATTCAACATCAATTTGTTGCTTACTGAATACATTGTTATTATCCAAAAAACGTGAATTTGTTAAGTAAAAACAGCTTGATTCAATCCATAAGAATTACACCACTGATCTGGTGGTAAATAGTAGTTTCAGGTGATTTAAAATGAAGTAAATAAGGATCTTTCTATTCAGAATATTATGATTACAAATTATGAATTTAGATTACATAGTTAGAATGATTGACTACCTATTAGTCGATTTGATTCTAGTCCTTTTTATTCAACATTATGCTGTTAGCAGTTACAGAGTATAGCAAAACAAGAAACAAACTACGAAAATAAAAAAACTCACGAGCTTTTTCTGTGGAAAAAGGAAATTTCAATATAGTTGAAGGAATACTATCATCACTTATATCTTCCAAAACATAATCTTTTAATATTAAAGGCGGATAGCAAATACGAAATCGTTCAAGACTGACAGTTTCATCGGCTGGTGTGAAAGACGTTGTTTCTGTAGGTCTGGAAATGTCCAACTTTGTCGACGATGATGTCATAATTGAAGATAAACGTCGAAATAATCGTGCATACTTGGAAGGTCGATTTCCTGAGTTAAAAGATATATGGGTAGCATTTCCCGAATCAGATGGTGAACGAGTCCTTAAAATGGATAACAAAGACCATCGGTGACTATAAACTCGTGTACTCGCAGAGCATATTATAGACGGTAGTGGAGAGACAAGTGAAGTTGGTGAGTTTTTAGATGAAGTAGTAATATGCGGCTTGGTGATTTGACGTGATAATTTGCCATAATAGCAACGTGATATTAAGCGACTATTATTATCGGGTTCAGAACTTATTGTTATAAGCATTAATTGAGGAAAAACAAAGACGGTTACCTGAAATATAAAGATTTCAATAAATTAATATGAGAAAGTTTTAAAAGTACTTCAGAGTATTTTGATGATGAACATTGTTAAAATTATAATGATAGCGATCGAGACCGATATAAGTTAACAGATCGCAAATAAAAGGTGGGAGAAATTATGTAGTTATATATATATATATATATATATATATATATATATATATATATATATATATATATATATATATATATATATATAAAGCAGGATCGACTAATAATGAACTGTTTCGATAATGAATAATTAGCATGAATTTTAATGATACACCTGATGTCAGCTAGTTTATGTTGAAGCACCAAATAATGAGTTCTCGGTTAAGGATGTAAATACCAGACTAAGAGGATCTGATTAATATGATTATCATATTGAAGACAGATTACAACACATTCAATTAGCTAATGACTTGGTTTTGAATGTTTAGTCTTTCATAGTATCATTGGTACAATAATAATTTCGACTAGTTTGATACTTATTATGTTGATTTTAACTCGTGTTGAAGTAATATGGCAACTTGGACCAAAACAAATTTGCACCAGGCGCCACGTTTATTATGACTGAGTGAGAGTTAAAAACTTAAGTTTCAAAAAAGCCACTGACAAGAAATAAAAGCCATCAAATGTTATTACAATGATGAGCATATATATTGGGAAATTTGTGAACGGCTGCGCTAAGTGTCAACAAGCAACAAAACTCAACAGACCGGTGCCCCCAGTTTTACGGCAACTACTCGGAGATCCATAGTCCAGAATCCACATAAACTTTCCAGGACCAGTCAGTGACATCGCATATTTGGCATTCGTCGACACATTTTCAAAATGGCAAGAGATTCTTCGAGTGGTTCTACCTACAACAACAGAAACCCTCCAGATACTGCCAGAGATCTTTTCTCGCAACGAAGTTCCAGATATCAGTGTCAGAAAATCAATTACAATTTACTTTAGAACATTTCCAAAAGTTCTGATACCGTAAACCCACCAAACATTCACTCACTACCATACCATCCCTATTCAAATGGACAAGCAGGGCGGTTTATTGACACTTTCAAAAGAGCATTGCTAAAATCAAACAGAAAACGGAACCCATCGATAAATTGCACAATCTTATGTTATTGTATAGAACTATACCAAACGAAGCTTAGCGAATCGGAAATCTTCAGCTGAAGTCTTCGAGGGCCACAGATTTATAACAACTCACCACCTGATGTTACCAAATAGGATTACTTGTAATAAAAAAAAAATCAATACCAGTGAAAATATCAGCATTTGAAATCAGAGCTCCTGTGTTCGTCCGGGATAACAGAAAGAGACACGACACGATAGAGGGGAGTGTGAAACGAAGGCTGGGTCAGGTAATGTATGGGGTAGTTGGAGAAGACAAATGGATATATCTTAATCCATTATGAAAACGCGTATTATAGGAGCATATAAAAACAAGCAACTTGCCCCTGGAAACACCAATTTATTTATTTGAACACATAAATATTGGTACAAGAGGGCACCAAATATATATGCGCTACATAAAACAGTGAGAATGGGAAGAGAAAAAAAAGGAAGGTGAGGAGCGTAAAACAAGAAAAAGAACTACAACGGCCAGATTAGTGTAAGGTAGTGTGTAATAATAATAACAATAATGGGGGAGATGGGAAGGAACAATCAGAAGAAATCTTTCAGTTAAGAATGATACAACCACAGTCTATGAAGAAATTAAAAGAAGGTTACAGCAGGATCGCCACTGGCTTCTATTCTGAGCCATATCTGATGACGTCTCTAGCCACTGTGTCACACCATCTCTCGGACCCCAGCCAGAGTCGTGAAGGACCGACACAGGTCAGCCCTTTGCAGCTTTCTTTCATGCCACGACACCATGTCATACACTGACCACCTCTTCGTTTTTTCTAACCAGTCCCTGCACGACGTGGAATTCTCTGGGACGACATTCGTAGAACATGTCCAAGCCACCGAAGTCGGTGTTTCAAGATGGTGACACCAATTGCATTATCATCTCTGTGCCCGAAAACACGATGCCGAACCTCTGCATTACTAACATGGTGTTGCCACTGGATGTCAGTAATCCTTCGGAGACAGCGATGATCGAACACAGAGAGTCGTCTAACGTCCTCAACTCGGAGAGACCAGGTTTCACAAGCATAGAGCAAAACTGCTCTTACCGACGCGTTGTAGATCCGACTTTTTACGGCCAGACTAACATCACGAAGGCGTCAAAGATGGTCCAGATTGGCATAAGCCGCTCTGGCTTTCACTATACGTGCATTGATCTCATCACTCACGCCACCACCAGCACTTATGCAGCTACCAAGATACACGAACTTCTCGACTACTTCTATCTGCTCACCATCCAGAATGAGTACAGAATAAGAATCTTGCCAGTCTTGTAGAAGTACTTTGCATTTCGAAGGTGTAAAGCACATACCATACCTACGGACACTGATTGCCAACTGATTAAGTGCGGATTGCATGTCTTAGGCATTATCTCACAGTAAGACAATATCATCCGCATACTCAAGGTCGAGAAGTCTTTCTCCAGGCAACAGATCCACACCACCATTACTTACATTCATCAGAGCTGTTTCCAGAATGTCATCGATGGCAAAGTTGAAGAGGAATGGTGAGATTGGGCAACCCTGCCTAACCCCACTGCTCGAATGGAACAATGGAGAGAGGTGGTTGTATGCCCTCACTCTGCCTGAGGTGTTTTTATATAGGGCTTTTAGGATGTTAATAAACTTTACAGGCACACTCTTCTTTAACAGACAATCCCAGAGAACAGTCCTATCCAACGAATCGAAGGCAGCCCTGATGTCAAGAAACACTACGATTGTTGGCCTGTGATAAGTATGGCGGTGTTCTAACATTTGGCGGAGGGTGAAGATATGATCAATACATCCTCGAACGGAACGAAAACCAGCCCACTCCTCGCGTTTTGAACAACCTACGAAGTATGACGGAAGCCAATATCTTGGACGCAATCGGAAGTAGACTTATCCCCCGATAGTTGTGACAGGAAGGACGTGAACACTTTTTAAAGATAGGGACAACTATCGACTCATTCCATGACGTTGGTACACTCTCAAGTTTTCAGACATTTGTAAACACAGTCAGTTCCTTAGCCAGAAAGTCACCACCATCTTTAAAAAGAGCCAGGGGTAAGTCATCTGGGCCTGGTGATCTGTAGCGCTTCAAGAGTTGGAGTTCCTTGCGGACTTCCGCCTCATTTGGTGGATGTCGTCACCGGCCATGAAGGGCAGGACAGTCCGACCGATGTTGCCCATCGTCCAAGACGTTGATGGATGTTAGTGATTGGCATCCCGTCAACCTCACAGATTGTTTCACTCACACCAGACTTCTTGCTGCCAGTGGCTCGGATGAGTCGGAAGAGCTCCTGGTAGTTACCAGATGCAGCTGCTGCTTCCAGCTCATAAGCACGCTCCGACCACCAGGCTTTTTAGTCCTTACGCAAGCTTTGCCCAAGTTCATTACGTAACAGCCTTCGTTTGTAGTCAAACTCACGGTCACCCGGAGTAGACCGACGGGCTTCAACGACTTGTAAGGAGCCTGAAGAAACCCAGTGCTTACAAACGGGACGTTTCGCGAAGCTGCAAGCGTCTTTATTCGCCATTTTCATGACGTTATGAAGTTGCAACCAATGCTCATCTATACTTTTCGGTGGAATGGTAGCTAGCCTCGAAGCTAGCTCGGTTTGATACGTAGTTGCAACAGAAGTTGCGACCAACTTGCTGACATCAATCCTTTAATGACGATCACTTCGTTGGCCACTGAAAAGTAAGGTAATATTGGCTCAGACCAGGGCATGATCAGAGTCCAGATAGGTACTCCAAAAGGAGCGGCAGTCTTGCATCCGGGCTACAATCAGTCGGGGCATAGACGAAGATGACGAAAAGACATCGTTTCTCACGCCGATTTCTTCTCACTTTGATGGAACTTTCCAATCTAACAGCACATAACCGACTGTTAATGGGGATCCAATCGATTAGTGCTGCCTCAGCCCTAGCGCTTAGTGCGACACCAACGCCTGCAAGACCAGAGGAAGATGCCACAGGGTCCCCGGATAAACGTACGTAAAACAAGCTTTTTGAAGCGACAGGTGGAGAGCGGACTTGTAGTACTTCACCAGTCTTGAATACGGGTCTCGGATAGACAACAAAACATCGATATTAAGACTTTCCAAAGACATAGTCAGCCCTATCTGTTGTCCGACTTGCATAAGTGTGCGAACGTTGAAGGCAGCCAGTTTGAATGGTGCACGTGTTTTCAGAAAAACTGCTTCAGTACTCATATTCGGTGGTAACATACAATTTTCAACTGGACAGTGACTCGAGAATGTTTAGATAGAACCGAATTTCCACCATAAGCGAGCTGCTGTTTAAGTCGAGATATAAGGATACACAAAGTGGGAATAAAAGAGAGTGAATAAGTGACGTAGTATATAATAATGTGAATTGCTTAACTGTTAATCGAAGCGTGAATAGGATTTTCAGTAAATATAGTCATTTTCATTTTATTTGTGTGTGAGCTGTGATACTGCCCGAGTGCCCAGACTGAAGCAGGTGGTTTTCTTAGGGGCCACACCCCGAGCCTTTCACCTAAAGGTCTAATCCACAAGGCAGTGGAGCATCGTAAAGAGATTCAGTACCATGGTAGCCCGTGACCAACAATTGGTTCATACGCCATTTGTTCCCGCAGGATACTGGAGCCCATGTGCACCATTGGTTTGGGATCCAGTTAAAGCGCCGGACATTCGCTTTTCGTCCTCTCATTTTTCGTAAACAACACCCCCGCCACGAGAAGGAAGTGAGTAGGACTCCCCTGGCAGAGGCTGTATACACGTGGCCATGTGAGAGTATTTAGAGAGGGAGGGCAGGCCCGGCTCACTCTCGGCTATAACAGGGCATCTGGGGGCGGAATCACCAGTAGGTGCTTTCAATTTACCGAAGCTAATGAACGATTCCAGAAGAAACAAAGATAGTACCTCCAGAACAGGTAGACCTACGTCCCAGGAGATAGCTGACAAGACAACAGCGGCAGACGGTTCAGTTCCAAGTTAACCCAAGAGAATCACGCTATTAAAAGAGGTGTTGACGATATGCAGTCTCAAATTACAACCTATGAGAATTACATCAATATCAATTAGGTTGAAATTCTGTTACAATAAATTATCCGGTGTGAACACTTCAACGGCAAAACTGGTGTTTTTACTCTAGTGAGGCAGAAAAATATGATAGGGTTAGTTCACTTCACAACATTGAAATCGAAGTAGCGAAATTATTAGCATAGTGCACGAACTTATTACTATTCGTGCCCGTTAGTAAGTTACTTACTTTTGTTCTTTCTTGAAACAGTTTACCAATCTTAGCAATTCCTATCACCGATGATATATTTGAGCACCATAAATGATAAATTTACAATAATAATATAAATATGAATGGTAATACTACAAGACGAATATATGTTTTGTAACAATCGAAAATGAAATTTCAGTAATAAAACCCCTTAAATAAAAATAACATCCTCAATAGTGAAGGGGAACAACTGAATAAAATGTTTTCTTTAATTTTTAACAATTTCAAAAGAAAGAATAAAGATAATAATTAAGAAAAAGACCTGCACCTTTTACAGAAGCAAAATGTAATATCTACATACACATGCTTTTATTTCAAGATTGATAAAATCCAAAACCATAAAATATGATGATAAATCGAAAAAGATATGTAATTTATTAAAAGTATGTTTTGATTTGATTAGGAAACAAGATTGAAGTTATTTGGCTGCTTGAAAATTAAAGTTTGAAAATAAAATCTGAATACTTAATTCAACTGAAATATGAATGAGATTAACAATAATTCTTTCTATCCACAAAAAATATTTTACTGATCGGTGGTAACGAGTAATGAACAGGTTTTGTTAACTCAACTACTTAACTGAAAACAATCATATCGAAAAACATCCAGTACCAGAGTAGTCACGAATGCTGTAGATACCATTAAACCACTAAGATTAGAAAATCCAAGATAAAGTTTTGATTTTATGCTAATTCCCATTTAATAGTTGAATTCATGAGTCGATTAAAGCTACACCACAATGGAAAACCTGGAAGCACTGGACTGCCATTTCGCCCTATTATGGGACTCCTCGGCAGTGCGCATCCACGATCTCGCTCGCGTGATCCAAGCCCGGGGTCTGCCAGTCTCGCGCACGAGCGCTTAACCTGTAGACCAATTAGCCAGCATCCAACGGTGTTAATGTCCACCCTCAACCAGCCCACGATATTGCGCCACCGTCCACCATCGCCTTCAGAGAATAACTGCCTCACAACAGGCACAGTTGGATTCCACCTACCCAACTTACCCAAGTAGGATCACAACAACAGAATGAAGGGAAAAACGATTTCGAACCTCCAATGACGACAGAGAATGAAATCAAAGTGCAGATTACAGGCATGAAAAAATGAAACGATTACATAAAGGTGTAACATTATTTCTTCAAATCCATTTCACCTCACTGTTCACCTATGAAAGACAATTAGCAATTCTAGTGATTTCCACGTCAAATATTATGTTCAAATCATCAAAGTATGTGTCGTATGACGACGAGATGAACCTAACAAAAGTTACTTTTTTTAAGTGCAATTGGATCATTACATGTTTGAATGCATTTCATTTATGAAGCACTTTTCTGCACTTGACTTTAAGCTACATATTTTTGAGTGACAACTGATGACAATAAACGGTTTTGTATACTGAAATAAGTAGAACCGGTTTCTAACCTGACACTCGGTTGTTGACAGTCGAATATTATAATCCCCAATCTACGGATCTCAGAGTATTTAGTACTTATTATTTCAAACAAGCCATACTGTTTCATCTGTTGGATCTTTACGAAACTTAATTCCTAGTCTACCTCATTCACTAACGCTTCGAGTAGTCAAGTTAAATAATGAGTGGGATGACGAAATAATAATGACGATAAAGTAGATAGTAATGCAGACATTCCAATAATTACAAAAACCAACACAATTAACAACTTCATGTGACAGAAACTACACATTACCTCCAAACTGCTTAGTTCAATCAAGGCTATTAAGTGTAAAAGCATTTTCATTACATTCGGCATCTGATAAGTAATGTCTAAGCCCTTTAATGTCAATAACATGAATATCATGAAATTTAGCCACAACTCACTAAAGACCCTTAAAACGTCAGTACTAATGATTCATATAGACAAAAAAGAACTGCTCATTTGTTAAAATATAAACTGTATTTTATCAAAATGTTATGGGGAAATAAGAAAAATCCATGACATATGTAACCACGGTTAAAGAAAAGACAATGTTATTTTTTGAAAATATCCAACTACAATTTAATAATCTAGTGATCGCTTTTTCCATAGATTTCAACAAATATGATATTTATTTCAATCTAATTGAGGTATCCAGTTCATAAAGCGAAAATAGTTATAAATGTACGCATCACTTACTTCCCCAATATCAGTATGCAGATTGCCTTTCAATAACAGTGATTTCTGATGACATACCATATCTTTGTACTGTAACTGTGTTAAATAAAAACATTTGGTAATACAAAGTTTAGTGGCATTTATACAGAGACGGGAAGAAAAATGAATTTATCAATTACATCATTATCTTGATAAGAGGTTACAAAGTTTTATGAGATTAATGTGTTGACAGAGTTGTAAACAGTGACGTAAGATATGGAAATTCAACCATCTAAACAAATTCCTCTGTACTAATATTAATCAAGTACTTACTGTTTATTAATTTTTAAAGGAAATTTCAAGAGATCAGGTGAAAATACACTTTCATAAATACAAGCTGGAATATGCATTTTTTAACGAAATCAACATATGAACACAATAACGCCAAAAAAAAGTTATCTTAGTCATCAATCTTATAAGCTAAAAAGCTACTTTAATAGTATCATAGAATGAGTACTAAGACGTTCCACGTTCCTATACGACTCTGGATACCCCTATGGAGGAAAATAGGCCGCTCACCAGCATTCGCCATCCAACTCAGTTCTCTCCAATCCTTTCCAGTTGCTATTCATCCTTTTCATGTCTGCTTCCAATTCCCGGCGCAATATGTCCTTTGGTCTTCCTCTTTTTTGGTTCCTTTCAGAATTCCGAGTTGGCACTTCCCTCGTGATTCAGTTTGATGATTTCCGCACTGTATGTCCAGCATATTTTCCTAACTTCCTCTTCAGATCAAAGCTGTTCTCTCCTCTCCCACAATGGGCTGATGCTGATAGTATTCTTCCAAAGGATATTCAGTATCTTACGAAGACAACTGTTCAGAAACACTTGTACTTTTTGATGATGGTTGTGGTAGTTCTCTAAGTTTCAGCTCCGTACAGAACTGTCTTGACATTCGTATTTAAGACTGTGACTTTGATAATGGTTGACAGTTGTCTTGAGTTCCATATGTTCGTCAAATGTTGGAGTGCTTCCCTTGTTTTGCCAACAATGGTCTTTATGTCTGTATAGGATACTCCCACTTCATCGATGATGTTGTTCAGGTACGTAGAAGCTTCCACCTCTTCTAGAGTTTCTCCATCAAATGTGATTGGATTGGTGTTCTCTCCGTTGTATTTGGGGATCTTGCTTTTTCCCTTGTATATGTTGAGGCCTACTGATGCAGACTGCTGCTACACTAGTTGTCTTTATCTGCATTTGTTCGTGTGTATGGGATAGAAGAACTAAGACATCTGTCAAGTCCAACTAGCCCAGTTGCATCCAAAATGTCAATTGTATCCCGTGCTTACCCTCAGACGTCGAGGTCTTCATAATCCAGTCAACCACTGCAAGAAAGAGAAAGGGGGAGTAAGCAGCCTTGTCTGACTCCGGTCCTTACATGAAATGCAACCGTCCTCCATGCACCCTTTGCAGCGTAACCCGTCGTGTGAATTCCGAATGATGTTGATGATTTTCTCAGGTACACCATAGTGTCGAAGAAATTTCCATAAAGTCGTCTTGTCCACACTGTCAAATGCTTTCTCATAGTCAAAGAAGTTTATGTATAGTGATGAGTTCCATCCAATTGATTTCCTAACGATCATCTGTAGTGTCGCAATTTGGTCTGTGCACGACAGATCCTTACGGGATTCGGACTGTTAATCTCGAAGCTGGGCATCTACTGAGTCTTTTATTCGGTTTAACAACAATCTGATGAAAACCTTTCCTGGTACTGATAGAAGTGTGATGCCTCTAGAGTTCTTACATTTGCTCAGATTTCCTTTTTTGGCATTCTTCTTTCCAATTCATCGGCACTTGTTCTTCCTCCCAAATCTACCTGAATAAAATATGAAGCGTTTTTGCAGTTCCTCCCATGTCTGATTTCAGTGCTCAAGCTAGTAGATTGTCAGGTCCTGCTGCTTTCCCACCCTTGATCTAACTGATGGCCATCCTGATTTCTTCGATCGTTGGTGGAGTGACATCTATAGGGAGGTTTGTAGGTGCCAGTGGGTTCAATAGAGCTGGCCTATTCAAGAGTTCTTCAAAGTGTTTTACCTATCTGTTCTTCTATTCTTGGACCTCAGTGATTGACTTACCTTCATTGTCCTTGACCGGTCTCTCAGGTTTACTATATTTCCCTGCTAGTTTATTCGCTGTACCATATATTTGTTTCAGATTTCATTCTCTTGCAGCTTATTACGCCGTCGTTGCTAGTTCTCCCACGTATTTCTGCTTGTCGGCTTTAATGCTCTTCTTCACTTGCTTGTTTGCTTCTGTGTACTCAACTTGTGCCTTGACTTTCACTGTTCGGTTGTTGATAATTACTGTTTTTTCGCTCTTCCTTACTTGAATCTTGTCCAGAGTTCCCACAGAGATCCACTCTTTATGATAGTGCTTCTTGAAGCTCAGAACCTCGTGGTATGTTGAAGTTAGTGATTTTTTGGCCCCCAAATGCCCTGGTACGGCCGAGAGTGGGGAGAGTCCGCTCTCCCTCTCGAAATGCTCTCACACGGCCACGCGTATATAGCCTCTGCCAGGGAAGTCCTACTCATTGCCTTCTCGTGGCGGGGGTGTTGTTTACGAAAATGAGAGGACGAAAAGCGAATGTCCGGCGCTTTAACTGGATCCCAAACCAATGGTGCACATGGGCTCCAGTATCCTGCGGGAACAAATGGCGTATGAACCAATTGTTGGTCACCGGCTTCCATGGGACTGCATCTCCTCACGATGCTCCACTGCCTTGTGGATCAGACCTTCAGGTCGAAGGCTCGGGGTGTGGCCCCTAAGAAAACCACCTGCTTCGATTTGGGCACCCGGGCAGTATCACAGCCCTCACACATATCGAATGAGATTTGTGTGGCGCATATGTATTTGGTGCCTCCTTGTACCAATGTTTATGTGTTTAAATAAATAAATAAATAAATAGTGATTTTTTGAGCGCCTTCCAGATGCTCTACATAGTAGTTTCTTCTTTTAGTAGATCTTGTAAGGCTTGGAACCTGTTGTTGAGACCTATCTTGAATTCATTGAGTTTGTCAGTATCTCGAAGGAAAGCTATATTGAACCTTTGTAATGCTGTTTCCCCAGTTGTCCAGTACTTTTTTAGCCTCACTTTCATCTTGACAACCACAAGGTGGTGATCTGAAGTTATGTCAGCTCCTCTCTTGGTTCTCAAGTCTTCCATTGATCTTCTACATTTTTAGTGATGTAAATACGATCTGTATTGTAGTCTCGTGAAGCCCATGTAGCTTTATGTATACGTTTGTTGGGGAATATAGTGCTGCCTATAATAATTTTGTTGAATGCACATAAATCTGAAAACCTCCCTCAATTTTCGTTCCTTTCTCCCAGTCCATGTCGTCCCATGATATCTCCATATCCGGTGTTGTCCATTCCAACTATGGCGTTTAGGTCTCCCAAAAAGATGGTCACGTCATTTCCTTGGCAATTCTCTATGATCGACTGCAGCCTCTCATAAAACTGACATTTATCATCATCATTGCTATCATTGGTGGGTGCATAACACTGAATAACTTTCATTGTGATTCCCTCCTTATTTGTTTTGAAAGATGCTTTGATGATCCTGGGTCCATGAAATTCCCATACTATAAGTGCATTATGTGCTTCATCAGAGCAAACCCCTGAGTGTGCGAAGCATTTTCTTCTTTGTGACCAGAGTACAGCAGCATCTACAAATTTATATATTTACACCGATGCTTTACTTGTTTAAGATTACCAATTGTCAAGCCTGATGTTTTCATACTTCGGATTGACAATACTTACAAAATAGATAATATTTTGGCTTCCAGAGAAAGCAAACACTTACAACAAAACAAAAACTAACAAAAACCCTTCATTAGACAAGTGGAGGACGTACTTCTAAGTTGCCGTGGAATCCTATGCATTTTAAGTACAAATTACGCATAGCTTCACCAACTCGACGGTTTAACTCGTCAATTATAAAGGTGAAGGCAGACCGGACAACGAGTAAATGACTGAGTTCTGGATCGGTTGAAGGTGTCTGAAAAGTACATAAAAATTATTATATTACCATTATAATATGAATTCTACGATTATGCATAATAGATTTATTCAAATCCAAGCTAGGCACACAAAGAAGTCACACGTTAAAATACATAAAACCGTATATCTTGACCAGACGATAAGACAACAAAAGACAAGAAGTCAGATCACAGGTAAGAGGTTAATAATGTGTTGTATAAGTGCTTAAGAGTAATACGAGAACCCTAATTTTGATCACAGTTGACATCACATAAATTCCCAAAACATTACTTTGAACGGCTTCTAAGTATTCAGTTGGAGAGACATGTATTGATAACAGCTAATCCAACACAACTAACTATAATTCACATCATGATCCCAAGTTATAAAGTGAACAACCCTAAGATTATTACAACCCGTTTAGGCGGGTACCAAACACTGACCAACACGGTAACCACAATGGTGATACAATTACAATCATACCAAACCATTAGGTTATTGATTAATTTAAATATAATCTCATATTCTTCATTATTCCGAAGAAGAAACTACTTTACATCATCACTTGCAAACTTAACAATTGTTTGTGCATTATCATGGGATAAAATGTACAGGATGTTACATAAAGCAAGATATCACAATCAACGGTACTATGTTCTTCGAGCACCTTCTGTCTCGATTTCAAACCAACTAAAAAAGATCTAAAAGGAAGCAAAGAAGGAAACACTATTCTCAACAAACCCGAAGATAAAATGAAGGTAGTTACTGGCTAGATTTTCAATAACAATTTCAACAGTAAAAAATTAATTATAAACAGCGTAAAAGTATGCATACTTGACCACTACATTAGAGATCTGTTAAGTCTTAAAAGCCTTTATCCCTCAACACATTATTAGTGGTAGTCTGACGAAAGAATATCTTGGAAATCATGAACAAACAATGAAAGTATCAGGAAAACTCACCAATTCGATCAGTCGATTCAGTAATAAAGGATACCTAGTCAGTCTGCTTTTGGGACATTCTATAGAAAAGGAAGGTAGAAACAGACTCAAAATACAAAAGAATGATAATAAAAAGAGCATTTTTTACAAGAAAATAAGAGCATTAAGGCACACATTCATAATTATCTACGTACATACAACAGATGGAGACATAAAAAACAATGACAAAGTGCAAACTCGGCGAAAACAATTACGTGTAGTTTGTTGATGAGAACTAGACTAACATCTCTTTTGCTCGTTTAGCAAACACTGCAACGTTTTCATAAAACAGGATGATGACACCAAGTACAGAAAACTTGGCTTATTAGTGAAGTACGTCACGTTTTATGCAATTTAAAAAACAATTAGAAGTAAGCAAATAAATTTATATAAAGTAGAATCACCTCAAACGTGAAGTTACATAATTTTTTAGTGACAGATCTATTTCCAGAAGTTTTTCTTACTATATTCTCTAAAAAAACGAACAAAAGCCTTCAAAACCTATTGATCGTTGCATTCAAAAAGGTTTTGATAAGATATCCACCAATATCGATTAAGCATAGTCTGAAACAAGCTTAAAAGGTGAATATTTAAGACCGATCATTTGCTTACTATACTTTTAAAGAATAAGCGCGGTAAAGCCACGTGAAACTTGGTAAAAATGAGCACCAAAAATAATAGACACAATACAAATATTTGTGAGCGGGCTGGAATACCGCCCGAGCACCTAAACAGAAATTGGTAGTTTTATAGGCACCCACTCCTCAAGCACTAGGATTAAAAATCTGATCCACAAGGTGAAGTAAGTGGTAGTTACCGTCTCATGGTTTGAACATCATTCGTGCCCTTGAGATCCTGGGGCCCATGCACACCACTAGTTTGAAATAGGGGTTTTTCAACTCCCCCAAGGTGGACTCTCTGCACCTGGGATTTTGCTTTTCGTCCTTTGTGTTATGTTCTATGGCCCGTCAAACATCACGTCACAAAATCGATAATCGGAATACCGATTTCTATGGCACTGTCCTTGTGCTAAACCAGCGACACGCCAACCACCACTAGCAGTCTTCAGTCAACTCGCTTGACCCTGCTCGTTGAGTCCAGAACACAATATCTCCCTCCGCTGTATGAATCATATGCTTCAGACATACGTGGTTTACATACAAGAAGACTAGACCGCATCGCACCATCAAGTGAAAAATAATTATTATAAAAGATCAAGCCAAAAGAGGTTCAGTATAAAAGATTGTGGACAACAGATCGGGAATAAATTAAGGATGGTAAATCGTACAATGGTAGCTAATAGGTCAAATGAAAGCTTATGATAAAAGGAATATGAATATATGTGTAATCTAGTTACACAATAATTATATGATAAGAATATATGTAGTAATAGTCCGTAAACAATTCCTAGCAGTTACAATTCATTTATTCTTTGTTCGGACATGACACTTCATATACAGAAACATAACTCCTGTTCCGTTAAGGTAATAATAGGTAGGACTTACCTGATAGAGGTTATAAACTGCATGAGAATGGAATCTCCTCACTCTCGACAATACCAGGGTATTTGGATGCTAAATAGTAATCAGTAAAAATCATACAAATTTCCATAGTTTAACTGTCAAACCGAATGTTCCCCTCTTTCTCCAGTACCATATACATACTCTTGGTAATATATAGCTTTGTGGTCTATCAAGGTTTACGAGTACTTACTAGACATAGATACCCCACAAGTAAGATCATTATCTACTGTATTAATAACCTAAACTCCACATTTTCATTTGGATATAGTCAACCAATTGAACAATATATTAGAAATATTGATATGATAAATAGGAATAATTATCAACTATAAGAAAAAAAGCGTAGAACTTTACTCATAAAACAATCTTATACAAAAATACTACAAGAATGAATTACCCAAGAAATGCCACAAATCCAAACGTTTACTGAAATGTGTATGTGAACAACGTGAAAGAAAATCAGTAAAAGCAGGCTTTTGTTCGCGTAAAGCCTCAAAATATTTACGTGCTTCATATAAGTGGGCTGAATAATCCAAGAGAAGTTTTATTGATGAAGGCATCATCTCGATGTAACTCTCACAGATAGACTGAACATAATTCTGTGTTGGATATGGATAACATTTACGTCCATAATTAAGGTAATCAGGTTGTGGCTTTGTTATTACTTCAAGACCCAACTAATACGAGAAAATATATAGTAGAACAATAATATCAGTTTCTACAGAATATACGATTCAAAAAACTGGGTGAGATACTTCAACATATATCACTCACCTAGCTAATGTCCTATTCTATCTAGTTCAGGATTTGTGCAAAAGTATCAGTTTGAAGCATACGCAAAGCCTATCACATCGAAATCCATTAATTACAATTATGATGATTAACAAAAGATAAGAACACCAAATAGAGCATAACATGTACAATTGTCATTCGGGAAATAGTTGTTTATGGAAAACTAAAAATAATGATTAAAAGGCAGTAATGTCCTACTCTATCAATCGACCTACAGAAAGTTCTAGAACCTCCTTTTTCTTCCAACAACTATATCTAAACATTTTAGTCCGTATTTCTTCTCTTTACGTAAGACCTATAACTGACTTAAAAATCGACCCTCCTTTTCAATAGTCATTTCGCAAACAACACTGTTTAATTAAACATGTTAGAAAAATCCTAAAATAATGACTCAAGTAAACTCTATCCTTATAGTTCAGTTAAACACAACTAAAATGCAATCCAAATCCATAAGAAAGAAACTCAGTACAACTTGATTTTGCCGTCTATTTTATACGAATTTCAAACCTAGTAACCACCAATTCATTTATAATCTTATTTTAATGATCTAAAATACTACCACTTAACTGGTATATTTTATCATTGTTAAACATATGTTGATGAAGAGCAATGAACGAAAAATAATTGTGACGAACATTTCTTTGCTCTGTTTGTCTTTTCCTAAACATTTGCATGGAATCCCTTCGATTCATATGATAATCAAAAAGGTTTGCACTTTATATTGCTTTTTTGGAATTGCTAAACAGTCATTATTTGAACAAAGAGAGTTGTGAATAATAAAACAAGTATAGGTCAAAGTTAACCTTAAGCAGATATTGAAAGTTGAAAATTTTACGACCTCAAAACAGTACGCGATATACACTAACAGCTTAGTACTTTGTGCTCTGTCATTCAGTCATCAAGAAGACTCCTAAGGTTTTCACTTTCCTCCTCTTACTGCCGAGTCTTCAAGATAAACGTTATCATGTGACTGGAAAGGAATTAAATCATACAAGACGGTAGACAAGACGTTTACAGTGAGCAATTTATAACCATACAGGAAGATCACTTCGTGATTTACGAATGCATATATTAATGGCTTACAGGTATGAAGGTTGAGAAGTGATGGATGAGGTTTATGATCTTGCTAAAATATTCTAATTTAGACATGCTAATTGTTGTAGCCACAAATGTCCCAGTATGTGAAAGATTTAATAGGACCGATTAACCAATCATATACGCTGAAAACAAGTGGTTGATCACTGAATAACTATTCCCATAAAAATTATCGGTAGCTTCTACTGATATATAGCTTCCTAGTCAAAAGAACTAAGTACTGCCACAACGGATCTGTACCGTATTTCTAGTAACAAGAGTAAGAGTGGTGGAAATGTTTTATTTCATATTTCCTTATAGATGTTCACAGATACCGAAGTCGAAGATATTGAGTGAATGCTTTGATTCTTACTTTAAGAAACTGCAATGAAAATTGTCAACAAACCAAAACGACTGGATAACACCTAACTTTACATAAAGTATCATCCCCTCTCCATGTTATTCACCACAAACATACAAAACTATCCTCTTCTAACATAACTGAAAGAATGAGCTAAAGTATTTTAAGATTAGCAAAGTAGGATAATAGAAGTCATAGAAAAGAATCATCTGGTATGATCGACACGTTGCTTTTATCAAAACTACAAAAACGTAATAACCTTACCCACAGATATAAGATCATTCCTATGCATGGTATGCTGAAATATTTATTCACTTCTGATGAAAGACTATTTGCTAATCCTAAAACATAAGAATCACAAGATGAAAACTGACTAACCTTCAAAAACTGGTATAATAGCTTCAATTGAATAGAACAGATTATTTATTTCTGTTGAGGTAAGTATACCCAATTTTTCTAATGGATATTTGTACACCTAGATCCAGTTGGATAAAATATGTTCAACTTCTACCTTAACGACAGTTTTCAGATCACTTACAAGTACTTCTTCACCATCATGGAACTCGGATATGATCTAATAATTGGAATACTGACTGAAAAAATTACCTGAATCCTCTCCATCTGACTTCTAGATAGAGCTAATAGGTTTGGTGTGGAACGGTGCTTAGAGGATTGAAACGGTGATTCGTGGCATGCTCCTTCAGACAGGTTCTGGTTAAGATCGAGACAACCATAGGACTGGCAAAAAGCTTCATTTTGAATGGTCATTGTTCAAAGAAGTTTCGAAACAAGGGATTACGCTGACTTGCTGGACAGATCTAAAGTATAGCACAATTTCTTGAAGTATGTATAGCTTTGGTTTATACCTTACCACAACATATTTGATACTTGGTCAAGACATGAATTATGTACACAGACTGGAAGGAGACAAAATACAAATGAAAAAAGAAACCATCTAAGTCGATAGCTCACAAATACGTTTTGTATAAACTCGGAGCTGTATCACCAATCACTAATAATGAATATAGAATCCAACCTCCCTGGACAAATTCGCTAAGAGACCTTAATCTGCAGTAGCCCAGATAACAGAACAACAAAGGCAAAAAAGCAAGTATACACATAAAGGTCATGACTCTAAGTGTCTTTCTATGATTAGATACAGTAGAAATTTCTGCATCCATCCCAAGCCGTTTCTATGGGAGACCCCAGTTCTATTGACCAATCTACTAAGGATGTTAAGTGTATAATACATTTCATATTTGCTTTCCAGACGTTAGGTCTGGGCTGTGCTGACACATCCTCGTCATTGACAACTATATGGAAATAAAAGACTATAACTGCATGGTCACTTTTACCTAAGGGTGGCATATAATGGAAGTTTGTGACATCATCCTCATGACGGGTCAATATGAGATTGAGTTAGGATGATGCTGAGTTCGGGTCTTACCTAGCTGCTTCTTTCAAATTTTACACTAGGGCACATGTGATAACCGCATCAACTAGTTCCTGCTCGGAGGAATTTTCTGACAATTCAGTTCTCAGATTTTTCCAGTCTACCGTAGGTGCATTAAAGTCTCCTAGTACTAAACATCAACCAATTTGTGACCAAGTATTGAGACCATCTAGCAAGACTTCGTTTACCTCACAGCTTGGACTGCGATAGACCATATCAATCAACAGCTCATGTCATTTGCATTACAAGCGGCAACTAACTAATCCACACGTCCCACTTTTATGGGATATGTTACCAATAACGGTAAATTGGATAGCATTTCTAATGAATAGAGCTACTCCTTCTTTACGCTTCTGGATTCTGTCGGTTCTCACTAATGCTAAACCTTCAAAATCAAGTTCCACACTGTCTATGGACTGCGTCAACCAAGTTTCTGTGACTACGATTACATCCGGCTTCGTTGAGTCTATCTCCGCCGAAGCCTCACCACTCACAAGTTTACAATTCTAAGGTCCCCGCCAGCATCTAACCCTAGTTTTAGTTCTTCTTATGATCCTCGTCTTCCTATATGGTTCGCGAACGACAAGTGTTTATGGACAAAAACTCCTGACCCCTTTAGTTTATGTCCATTCTGTACTATACTATTTTAAACAGCCTGGTCTGATTTTGTTCCAAGCCCTTTTGGCTAACTAGTCTATAAACCTATAGCAAAGTGACTCCAGAGATATTCTGAAGCATTGGTTGGTTTAGTAGCTCTTCTATCAACTCAATTTCATGTCTGAAACGAGTTCTGAGCCTTGACTCGATGGAATACAACTGACCTGTTAGTATGATCAGTCTTTAATTTATCAGCTGCTCTTTTGGGGACCAACTCTTCTTTAGCAACATTAGGTCGTTTCTTATTCTTGATCACTACTCATCCATAAACATTCATTGTAGTAGCAATTAGTCACGTTTCACACGCTATGAGATTCTGGATGATTGTCGGTCACTTGGGTAATCAGGTTGTTGTACTTCCTGACAGAAACAGACCTGACCTTGCGACTAGGTTTTCTAGGTGTTCCCTGCTCGCTGACGTTTGGAGGGCGAAAGACAGAGGGAACTTCTTTTCTTCAGCTTTTATTTCTAACAGACCTCTTTATAGATCATTGTTCGTCCATTGGCTCACGCAAGTCAGTCGACTCCGAGCTTATTTAAGGCAACTTCATACCGATTTGTTTATGCACCGAGCGAGTACCATTTCATGTGTCACAATTACACTTACTTACACTCCTTTTAGCAGCATTCACCATTTCACTGGCTTCGGATAGCAAGCTATTTGCATTCGAGCAGCACTGCTGACACAACCATACGCAACTATTTTTACTAAGCTGTGTGAAAGTAGCAGGCATTAGATTCGTGCAACCTTCGTGGTACCATCCATTGCACTCACCGCACTGCATACCACTTTCTGCAGGGTGTCGACAACCTAGGCGTTGGCAATTGCCTTTTCGCACTATCTAGTCATCAATAGAGTTTTCACAAAAAAAAACTAGACATAAACAATACCCAGAGACAAGAGAAACTGATGACCAAAAAAAGTGAAAAACTGTGAATTGTTAGAACCAAATGTGCAAACAAATGCAAAACGTAGCAACGTACTCAAAAGTATCGGCCATAAGTTATTTAAAAAACGATACTCCTGGAGTATACTTTAACTGAAACTAATTAAATTAAAGAGAAAACAGTAGCCTTGATGCGCAATAAACGATCAAAATAAAATTAACTCAGCGAGGGAAAATACCACTGTTCTTTTATATAGTGCCTGATATTATTAATGCAACATTAAGACAGAAAAAATCATGCTTACTGTAATCACGAAACATTAATATGTGTGAAGTGGGTTAGTTCAGAATTGGGCACAAAATAACGACACCAACCAACGGTTTGAAAAATTGCTGGATCTTTTCCGAGCAACTAACGACTGTATGTAACAACCTTCAACACTCAATCTCACCTAATTGAATGTGCCAAATGAGATATCTTTTATTCCCCGTTTCAAGAGCTTTAAATGGTAAAGGGTAGTCTGAGACACACATTTTTGTCGTGGTGTCGAAAACGTAATGAGAATAAGTTGGACACTATTTGGATGAAAGCTTGTGAAAAATAGTCTCAAGTTGTGATATTATAGAGATTCATAAATCCCACAGAAAAGTAGTTTTATAAGACTATGTTATTTATTTTGATCTCACTAATTTTACTGGGTGCACCCTAGCTGAAGGTGCTCGGCAACTCATCCTCACTAGGTCACCATCGGGTATGCAGTGCTACGCAACAACTAGCCAGCTTAGTTCACATATTTCCAGACATACCGACTATCTTCGAAAGATGTTTTTGAACTCCTTCAACTGTACAGGCGTTACGGACGAATGAGTTGTCAAACCCTGAAAATCCATGACATCGTGCTATACCATTTCAGATTCCTACTCTATGTTGATGAGTTTCTGAAGAGATCTAAATCGTCAACACTTACATTCTCATCATGCAGCTGTTTAGAGAATAATATCCGGTGATGTTTATGAGTTTCAGCATAATGTTAATTGTTAACTATTGAAGTGGTTGACTGGTGCTAGAAATCAATTTTAGTAGGGATGTGTTGATCCACATTAGTCATCGCGTTAATATCACAAATACATCATTAGTGATGCAGTCCTGTCACATAATTCTGAATTGTAGAGATAGACTCTACCAAGCAGGTTGTAACTGAAATCACAGAAACTTGGCCGACTCCGTCCGTAGACAGTAGGGAACTTGATTTTCAAAGTTTCACTGGCTGTTATATCAGTTAGGTAATAATGTGGATAAAAGACTTCCTGGTTGGGCGCCAACAAAACGTGCGGAGGAACTCAAATATGTCTAGCCGGAAAACTGTGTCGCAGGGTACAGTTTTCAGGCCAATGTTATTCCTTTGGTATGTAAACGACCTTTGTCGTCTAATATCATCATCGGCCCTGCTATATATTAACGATGTCAGGACATAAAAAGAGAGAGATAAGAAGTAAATGTGATAGCTTATAACTCAAAATGACATGGAGAAATTATCTGAATGGCCTAAAATTTGGCAGTTGCCGGTCAATGATTTCAAGTGCATTGTGATGCATGTTGGTCATCAAAGTACATATACATACACGGTGAATAACAGTGAGCTACCTGTTTTCCAGATACAGAACGCCTTAGGAGTCATCGGCGTCGAAGACTTAAAAACTACTACACACTGCTATGAAACAGCCACCAAGGGTTTTAGAACTTTGTAATCAATACGTACGGCCTTTAGTCATGTCAACGCTAACAACTTTTTGACTTTGTATGCGGTATTCGTTCGTCCTAACCTTGAGTACTGCATACAAGCGGCTAGCCCCTGCTTAAAGTAGACAGTGAGTTTTTGGTAAAGGTTCATAGAACAGCAACTAAGCTGCTTCCCGGAATAGTGAAGCTACTGTATGATGCTTGACTAGCTAGACTAAACCTATTCCCTTTGCCATATCGAAGAACTGGAGGTGACTTGACTAAAGTTTTCAACTAACTGAGTGGTAATTTGGCATCTAATATGCCCTCACTTTTCTTGTCTCTCAAAACAGAGAATGTATGTGGACGCTCCAAAAACGTTCATAAGCATAGAACAAATTACTTGTCAGCTGACTATCGACTTGCACATCAAATCATCAGCGAATGGAATTCATACCTCAACACGTGATTACAGCCTCATCTGTCAACTCTCTAAAAAGAAAGTTAGAACAACTGAAAGAGCGCGTTGCCAAGATTAACGCAGATCATTTAGCCTATCGTCCATTTCAAACTGAAACTGCTCTGTGAGTATGTAGACTCACGGTCTAATTTTCTATTAGTATTAGTGACTGTCTGATCCATAAGATCTTGTGGGGATGTCACATCATCGTCTACTCTGATTCGTCGTATCGTAACAATTAAAATTGCGACGTCTGGAGTTTGTAGATAACACATTCAGGCTAACGATAGAATATTTTAAATGTGAGTAAAGATAACTTCTACAGAATGACCACGTCCGAGAAGCTAGGCCATGCCATTCGAATTAGTTGAGTTCATTCTCCCCGCATTCTCCATCGTTAGGCTTCTCTCCGCAATAAATTTGGAATACCCGTTTTACTAATTGTTTAATGTTCAGCTTTGAGGATTGTGTTTTGAGCCTGATGCCACTACAAGTCTTTAAGCGGTCTAGAAACATAAGTGAGGTAATCAGACTACATACATTTAAAGTAATCCCATTGAATTTTTTACTGTCCACTTGCTATGTAAACGT